TCTGGACAAACATGATTGCAGTGTTCCAGTATCTCAGGAGCTGCCACAAAGAAGAGGGAGTCAAACTATTGTCCAAGGCACCTGAGGGTAGAACAAGAAGCAATGGATGGAAACTAATCAAGGAGAGAAGCAACTTAGAACTGAGGAACAATTAATCAGTGGAACAGCTTGCCTCCAGAAGTTGTGAATGCCCCAACACTGGAAGTCTTTAAGAAGATGTTAGATAGCCATTTGTCTGAAATGGTATAGGGTTTCCTGCCTAGGCAGCAGGTTGGACTAGAAGACCTCCAAGACCTCCCTTCCAACTCTGGCATTGTATTGTATTGTATTGAGTTCAATCCTGACCAGCTCAAGGTTGACTCAGCATTCCATCCTTCCTAGGTTGATAAAATGAGGACCCAGATTGTTTGCAGGTCAATATGCTGACTCTATAAATTGCTTAGAGAGGACTGTAAAACACTATGAAGTAGTATATAAGTCTAAGTGCTTTTGCTACTAGAAACAGTTCTTGAAACTTCGTAAATGTGAGTAATTCATCCCTTTTTTTCTGGGCAGCTTTCCTGAGGAATTTGACAAGACCTCCTTTCATAAAGTACGTCATTCTGAAGATATGCAGTTTGCCTTTTCATATTTCTATTATCTCATGAGTGCAGTTCAGCAACTCAATATTTCCCAGGTTTTTGATGAAATTGATACAGATCACTCTGGAATATTATCTGACCGGGAAATTCGTACATTGGCGACAAGAATTCATGAACTCCCTTTAAGTTTGCAGGTAATTAAAAAAAAACCAACTTTGTAGCTTCTTCCATATAATTGCAGAAAGTATGATTTAGAACCATCTTTAGGAACATGCAATAGAATTGGCCAAAGTACCATATTTTTCGGAGTATAAGATGCACCTTTCCCCCCTCCCCTAAAAGAGCATGGAAATGTTGGTGCATCTTATATGCTGAATACAGCCATTTTTGCCTACCGAAGCCCCACCCCCGCATCCCATTTTTGCAAAAAAACCAGGCCATTTTTCACAAAAACGGAGGCGTTTTTGCCTTCTCCCAGTCCCCAGAAGTACTGTGCAGGCTTCAGCAGGGTAAGCTATACTTAATCAAAGGAATTGCTTTCCAATTCTACTGTGCAGCTGGGATGTGAGAGTCATAATAATTAATGTTGACCTAGGACTTGGAAATCCTAGATTTAGAATCTCATTCAATCGTGGAACTTATTTTATGAACTTTGAGAGAATCTTATTGTAAACTATTTCACAGGGCTATTGAGAGAAGGTATGGGGGAGCATGTCTTTGATGATATAGTCAGTGTACATAAAGAAAAATAAAATACATTGATCAAGAATCATAAGATATAACACTTAGTGGTAGTCATAGATTACTAATAAGCAATCAAATTGTATTAGGAAACAAAACAATATAAGTTGTAAAGATACAAGCAACATTGTTATAGTCATGAGTGGGAAGGCATAGGTACTAGGAAGGATGAGAGGAATAATAGTAATACAGTCTTAGTAAATAATTTGACAATGTTATGGGAATTAGTTGTTTAGTAGAGTGATGGCATTCGGGAAAAAGCTGTCCTTGTGTCTAGTTGTTCTGGTGTGCAGTGCCCTATAGCGTCGTTTTGAGGGTAGAAGTTGAAATAATTTATGTCGGTTAAAATATAAATCATGCTAATTTGAGTCAGATGGAGTTTTCATAAATAAAATAAAATTCTGTAACATGAACTGAGGAGATGATTGCCAACTGATAACATAGGTTCATATAACATTTCTAAAATGTTTTTGGGTAGCTATTTAAAATGAAGTATTTTATTTTGAATCTTAATTCTCAGAGTTTAGAATATGTTCGGAATATACCATTTCAGATTACTGAATGCTGTTCCATAATACCAAAATTCCTTCTTATAGAAATGGGAAGAAAGATTATCGCCTAAACTTTCTTGATTATCACATTTTAAAAAAAATAAATTTTGGGGAAGTGACTTATTTGCATCTAAAGCAGAAACTAAGTACAGGTTGGGCATTTAGCACCAAGATGCTAAAACAGATTAATCTTCTGAGATAATCACATTTATATTTATTATATTTTTAAGATTGTGAAGATTGCAGTAGGAAAAATGCATAAACCTTTTTCCTTTTTACCTCCATCTTATTAGGATTTGACAGGATTGGAGCAAATGTTAATAAATTGTTCTAAATCCCTTCCATTAAATATAACTCAAATTAACATCATACCACCAACTCAAGAAGCATACTATGATCCCAATCTGGTAAGCAACTACTATAATATGAGTTCATTCTGTCATTAATTTGTACAGGCAGTCATTTCAGACAAAATTAATTTGCAACGGATATATAATTTGTAGTAGATCAGATTGTTAAATTATAATATTTAAATATCTTCTGTTCAATAAACTGTTAGTTGTCGTCAAAAATGCATGTGTAAAGAAAATTTAGGGTTCAATCCATTGATGAAAAACAATCTCCATTTTATATGTGCCAATACAATGAACATATCCAGGGTTTTTGTTTATTCATTCACTGATAAATAAATTGCTTCCCCTCCCAAAGTTATGCCAGAATTAGTTCTGAAAATCTCGTTAAATAGCAAGATAGTATGAAACAACTGTAATTTATGAAATCCAGTTTTTTCACAACTATATGAAATTAGATTTTGGAAATTAACAATAGTTTTTTAAATTCATCACAAAAATCATTTTTTCTGGAATTGCCTGGAATTGAACTGTCCCTAGTGGTGTTGATCAGTAATCATGCACTGATGATGTTACCTAGTTAGGTAATGAAATGTCTGCAAGCAAGCAACCAAGCTTGGAGAACACCAAGAACTCCACAGTTCAACTCTGAGTTGCATATATTTGATTGGAACCGCTTTGTTTTCATTTTTTTCTCTGACCCTAAATGCCATGATTCCGTTCAAATACATAGTAAATAATAAGAGAACAAATTCTTACTCCAAGGGCTAGTGATCCAAAATTTGACAATAAAATAAAAAAAGAAAATAGGAAAATATTAAACATGAAATTGCGTACAAAGTCTTCGGCAGAATGAGTTGTAAGGCAATTTTGTATAAAAAGCTCAGTTTTATAATATTTTCAGGATCTCCTTTTGATACTTGAGAGCCTTCATGTCATCTATTAAGCTGTAATTTTCATCTTTAAAGAAAAATGTGCTCAAAATTTATTATAGTATACTTTTATATACCACTACTTGTCAGATACAAACAACCAGGTCCATATGTGAAGATTCAAAATTACTGATTTATTGTTCAAGCCCTTGCACAAGAATCTTCTTAGATTAACAGGTTGGGTAAAATTTGATAAGGGTCAACAGTAAAGGAGAGATTGGACTTAATGCTCTTGTGACCACATAGAGATTCTAAACCGTTGCCTCACTTGACTCCTCCCCCCTGGATCTGACAGGCTCTCTCCTACAATACTATGTACTATTTGATGCTGTAGAATCTTCACATATTCATATTTGAATTGTTTCAGTTGGGTTTCCAAGTACAAGATGTAAGTATTTTTAAAAAATCCCTTTAGAATTGAAGTTGTGTTTTTAGAATTATTTATGGTTTTGCTAGCAAATGTTACTTAACTGGAATTAGGAATCCCTGCTCAGTTGGTGTGTTTTTTCTGATTGTCAAAGATTGACAAGCACTTTCCTCCCTGCTGGAGAATACATTGCATACTGTAACATATATATGAAACATGGAAATGAAGGCAATTATTTTTAAAGTT